GCGAAATCAACCTCGAAGGTAAGGGAATCTCAAAAGAAGCCCCGAAAAACGAGGAAGGAGAAGCTAGACGGAGGAAAAGGAAAAGAGCCGCCATCTTACGCCACAGTTGCCAGAAGTAGGCACCGGGACGATCTCTGCTATGCAGTTTACGATGCCGGTAATCCGACAGGCAAAATTCCAATAGACCAACAGAGTAAAATAGAAGACCTGGTCAACAATAAGATAGTGGACCATGCAATCGCTTCGAAGGGCAAACAACCAATAGAGAGCGAGAGCTGCGAGTTCAGCATGGGCGTGATGTTGATGAGGTTGGCATCTCACCAATGTGTTAGCACCCTAAAGAACTTGGTGGAAAGTATCCCTCCTCCCTGGGACGGCGCTAGGCTGGGACTGGCAAAGAAGAGCGAGCTTCCGGTGCTCCTAAAGTCCACTGTCTACATAAAAGGATGGGGCAGTAAACTGGCTAATGAACGTATACTGGAAATTCTTGGTGGTCAAAATGCTGAGCTGGCCGTGGAAAAATGGGATGTCTTTTACAGGAAAGAAGAACCTGAGGGAACTTTATTTGTAATAGGTATCGACCAGAAATCCATGGCTAGTCTTGCCAAGAATAAAGGTAGAGCTTACTTCGCCTCTAAATCTGTCATATTCAAAATTGGGAAGGTGCCGATTGGAAGGGCTGTTACAACAAGCCTCGAAAAGGATACCAAAAAACCTAAGACCACAGCATCAGTATCCACTACTGATAACGTTGAGGAGTCAAATCCTAAAATCGAGGAATTTACCATTAACTCGCCAGAAGAAAGTGTAGTTGCCCTTTCCAAAATTGGGAAGGCGCCGATTGAAAGGGCTGTCAAAACCGGCCCCGACAAGGACACTAAAACACCTAAGACAGTACCCAAAGCATCATTAGCAAGTACTAGCAATGTTGAGGAGTCAAATCCTAAAAGCGAGGAGGAAATCACTCACCCGCCAGAAGACAGAACAGCAATGCTCTCCAGAATTGGGAATGTGTCTATTAAAAATATTGCTATTCCTATGCCTGATAAGGACACCGCAGTGCCATCAACAGTACTCACTGCATTAATAGCCACTTCAGGCTTTCCGGAGGAGTCAAATCCAAAGAGCGAGGAGGTGACCACCAACTCGCTGGAAGACAGTTTAATGGATGACCATGATTGAGGTTATCCAAATAAACCTCCATCGGAGCGAGACAGCTACCAACGCTCTGATGGCTAAAATCAACACAGGTAAAATACATATAGCTTTAATCCAGGAACCTTGGACGATTCGCAACAAGGTTTCTGGATTAAATCACGTAAATTTCCAACTTTTCTACGCTGATACAGGATCTCGCCCGAGAACATGTATCTTATGTCACAAGAACTTATGTTTTCTCCTCTCAACAGGATTATCAACATCGGATGCAACGGTGCTGAAGCAAGGTCGTGGCAACATATTCCTTGCATCTATTTACCTGCCTTTCGATTCTCCGACACTACCACCAACGTCGGATCTGATGAAACTGGTTGAAGAGGCACAAAGGAAAAATAAGAAAATTGTAATAGGTTGTGATGCCAACTCGCATCATGTAGCTTGGGGTAGTACAAACACCAATCGCAGGGGACAAGCCCTCATGGATTTCTTTAATACTAAAGACTTGATAACATTGAACTTAGGTAATAAAGCTACCTTCGTCAATAGAATCAGAGAAGAAGTATTAGATATAACTATATGTTCAGAAGAGCTTATAAACGAAATTCAGGATTGGAGAGTTTCGGACGAGCACTCCTTTTCTGATCATCGGTACATAAGATTCAAAATACTAAGGCCACCACCAAAGCCGATAAAGTTTCGGAATAAGTCTAAAACTAATTGGACAATGTTCGGGACCTTACTAAAGAACCGTTTAGGTCAGGACACTTTTCAATGTCGAAATAAAGAGGATATAGATGCCAAAGTGGAAACGTTCACAAGTGCCCTGGTTGAATCGTTCGAGGACAGCTGCCCTCTGCGAGAGCGGAGATCTACCCAGGAAAAACCCTGGGTAACTGGGGAGATCCGGAACCTTGGGAAGACTCTTCGCAAACTATTTAACCGGGCACGGCGTAAAAAGACCGCAGTATACTGGGATGAGTATCGTAATAAACTTGGTGAATATAAGAAAATCGTTCGAAAAGCCAAACGAGACTCCTGGAAACTTTTCTGTGAACAGGTAGATAGCGTAAATGACGTATCGAAGATAAAAAAATTCCTATCCAAAACTCATGTCCAACCGGAATCTATGATCGATGACACGGGCAGGAGGCTTGAGGATATGGAGGAGACAATGAAACTCCTAATGGATTCTCATTTCCCACCCGGTATATCGAATAACATAGATGAACCGATATTGGAGGAAGGGGAGGGTAACACGGAAATAGTAATTACAACTGACATGGTGAAAGGGGCAATCAAGAGCTTTGCTCCCTATAAAGCTGCAGGGCCGGATGGAATTTTCCCGGCACTTTTGCAGATGGAGGCGGGACTGGTTTCCGTACATCTGTCACAGATATTCACTGCATGCTTAAAATTGGCATATACCCCAGTTAAATGGCAGGATGCAAGGGTAATATTTATACCCAAACCAGGGAAACCTAGCTATGCGACACCTAAGTCCTATCGACCGATAAGTCTTACGTCCTTCCTACTTAAAACCTTGGAACGGATAGTCGATAGCATGGTTAAAAGCAGCATACCATACAATGACCTTAAATATAAGCAGCATGCTTATGTAAAGGGACGATCGGTGGAAACCGCTTTAAATGAAGTTGTCCACTACATAGGTGAATCTTTCGATAGCAAACTGTATACACTGGCAGTATGCATTGACATCGAAGGCGCTTTCAATAACGTGCACACTGATACCCTTATCCAATCCCTAGACCAGTTTTATGTTGACCGGGTGCTCCGTAACTGGATCAACTACATGCTAAGGAACAGATGGATAAGCTGCGAGATGTACGATATAACTATCAGGAAAAAGGTATTTCGCGGTATACCACAGGGTGGCATTTTGTCACCTTTACTCTGGGTTACCACGATTAATAGCCTCCTAAGGACCCTAACCGAGAAAGGACTTAGACCTGTCTGCTATGCAGACGATGTCGTAATACTTTTAAAGGGAAAGGATCCAAATTACTTGTGTAGAAGAGCTGAGGAGGCTCTGAATACGGCCTTGAGCTGGGCTCAACCGAGAGGCCTCAATGTTAACCCGGCGAAGACGGAAATCTGTCTTTTCACAAGAAAGACAAAAACTTCTACATATACTGAACCTTGCTTCTTGGGCAAGAAGATACCGGTGACAGACAAAGTTAAGTACTTAGGTGTAATACTTGACCGGAAATTAAAATGGAGACACCACATAGAGGATAGGATCAACAAGGCACATCGGTGCTGGGCGATATGTAGGAGAACCATAGGCATGAAATGGGGTCTTAGTCCTACTATGACAAATTGGCTTTATAAAAGTGTAATTAGACCAATTCTAGCTTATGCTTCAATAATCTGGTGGACTGCTTTGGACAAAAAGTGTAATATCAAACTACTACAGGGAGTTCAGCGTACATGCTGCTTGGGTATAAGTGGTGCCATGTGTACTACTTCAACCAAGGCTCTGGAAACGTTGCTAGATATTCCACCCATTGAAACATATATAAGATATGAGGCGGCGCTTACAGCCGAACGGCTCTTTACTTTAGGCGAACTGGCCAAAAACGGTTATAGGACACGTCATCAATGTATACTGGACACATTGGAAGGTTATACACATTCATCGGACGTGCCTGATCGCATACCAGACACTGAATATGTCGGAAACTTTGAAACGCTAATCCCAGATAGAATGTCTTGGTCAAGCGGAACATTAGAGCAAATACCAGTAGGAATCCGTTGCTACACGGATGGCTCTAAATTAGGGGACAAAGTGGGTCTGGGGTTCTATATTGAAGACCCAGAAACAGAAATATACCACCGTTTACCTAATCATAACACAAGCTTCCAGGCAGAAGTACGAGCAATAACGGAATGTGTAAATTGGATTAGAATAAATATGGCGCCCACAGGGCTTAATATATTTACCGACAGCCAGAAGGCAATTTGTGCGATATCAGGTGATAGAATTAAATCTAAGACCGTATTGGATTGTAAGAAAGCTTTAACTGAATACTCTCCCAGAGGTAAGGTTCACATCATATGGGTACCAGGCCACTCGGGAGTAATCGGCAACGAAAGGGCGAATGTAATAGCTTTAAAGGGAAGGGAGCTCGATGTAGTTAACCTGACAAACGCAAAACCATTCGACGCAACAAAAGCTGAATTAAAAATATGGATGAGAGAATCCCATAAGGCCTCTTGGAATAATGAAACGGTGGGTAGAACCACAAAGATTCTATGGGGTGACCCTGATGAGAGCAAGACGAGAAATCTTCTCAAAATGAGCAAGTCTGAGGTTAGTATGATGGTACGTATTCTCAGTGGACACACAGGATTACGAGCACATCTATACAAAATTGGACGTGCGAATTCAGACGAATGTAGAGCATGTGGAGAGGACAGTGAAACTCTGGAGCACTTTCTTTGCCATTGTCAGGCATTCGTCGAAGTTAGATCCAAGTATCTTGGAAGTGATGTTATTCCGGAAATAACATTCTTAACCAACACCGATTGGAAGATTCTTAGGAATTACGTCCAGGAAACTGAGTTTCTGAACATTCAGTAAACAATTTTTTTTTTTTTTTTTTTTTTTTTTTTTTTTTTTCTTGAATTGGAGCGCACAACAGGCCCGATAGTGGCCTAGGTGTATTTCTTCGGATTTGATGTAGTATACATCCTCCTATCAACCTAACCTAACCTAACCTAACCTCAGTTCTAGTTCAGTTCTAGTTCAGTTCTAATTCAGTTCTAGTTCAGTTCTAGTTCTGTTCAAATTCACTTTATATACTAATTTGGTCATCTTTTAGGTGTCAAGCGTCTCTGTCAGGACATCGAATTTATGCTGGGCGTTAAGACCAGTTTGTATTGGCGCATTTGCTGGTCCATCATTACTCCCGGTTTAATGTTTTTAGTGTTAATTTATACCCTAATCACATTAGAACCTTTGCAATATAAAAATGTGGCATATCCCGAATTGGCGTATAATTTGGCGTGGATAATGTGGGCCATAGGAGTAGGTCAGCTGCCATTATGGGCTCTTTATACAATTTATCAACAAAAAGGAGAAACATTTAAAGAGGTAAACTAAATTATAAAGTTGTTTTAAAGAACAATTGTTATACAATATTTTAATTTGCAGAAATTCTCCAATTCTCTTAAACCCCGCTGCCATTGGGGACCCTTGGAACCCAAACTATTAGAGGAATATTTAGCATACAGAAAAGCTCTGTCGCAAGACTATGAAGATGAGGACACAAGTTTATGTTCGCGATTTTTAAATAATATTTTCCATTAGTTATTTTATTTCAAAAAAATAATTAGTTTAATTATTAGAATATTAATTAGTAATTACGATGTTACAGTGCCAAAACTAAAATGTATCCAACAGAATTATTATGTATTGTGTTTTCTAAGAAAATATTTGTATTAACAATAAAATTTATACAAAAAATAGTAAAAACAAAGATTTTATATTTTTTACCAAAAATAGAAAGCAAGTTAAAACAGAATTTAAGAATTTGATTTCATAATTTTCAAGTTTACTTACACTCTTCGGTAGTTTTGCTTCTTCTCAAATGAAAATACTTTTATTTTTTTTTTCTTTTTTTAATATTTATTTCATAAATTATTTGCCTGCTTAGTTAATCTCTAGTTTTTTTAAGCTTAAATTTGTTTGTTAATCTTTGATTTTTCTAAACTTTTTTGATTTAAGTAAAAATTTCTATATGTTTTGTTAAGTTTAATACCTTGGTACTACTTATTGATATTTATTTTATATTTTTATTTAATTATTTATTAATTTTTATTTATTTACTTATATTGCCTTTAAAATATGAATTGAGTTCATTTAGTGAATTTTTCGTTAATGCTTCAATTTGAAGTAAAAAATTTAGATTTTTCTTAGAGTCTTGTTAAAAAGAAGTAAAGAAAAAGATCTTTAAAATAATTAGTTTAAAACAGATACCATGAACGTATACTTTATATGGAATTCACAAGCAACACGTATACGCCTTGCAGGTACCTGAACTTTTCAATCAATAGCAGTATACTTTCACACAAATTATTTTCTGAAGATCTTTATCATATTTTTGTGTCTTTGATAGATTTTTAGTTTTATTTTTATTAATTTATTAAGTATTAGAAAAAAATTAAGCGTCTTTTATATTTTAGTTATCATAAAATTTGAAAATAAGTGCAGTTATTTATTACCTTTTATAATACTTGTATTTTATTAAATTTAATTTTTAGCGCCATTTTGTTCTTGTTAAGAAAATGTTTGTGTGTGTAAGAATTGTAAATGTGTTTTTGTTGTTATTTAGTATCACAGCTTTATTTTATTTTAATATTATTAAGATTTTAAAAATTGTGTGTGATTTTTTATCAATTTTGTTAATGTTTCAACATTAAGTAAGAACAGTGGGTAACGAACATTATAATCGAATTAGAACCGAACTAGAACAGAACTAGAACAGAACTAGAACAGAACTAGAACAGAACTAGAATAGAACTAGAACAGAACTAGAACAGAACTAGAACAGAACTAGAACAGAACTAGAACAGAACTAGAACAGAACTAGAACAGAACTAGAACAGAACTAGAACAGAACTAGAACAGAACTAGAACAGAACTAGAACAGAACTAGAACAGAACTAGAACAGAACTAGAACAGAACTAGAACAGAACTAGAAGAGAACTAGAAGAGAACTAGAAGAGAACTAGAACAGAACTAGAACAGAACTAGAACAGAACTTGAACAGAACTAGAACAGAACTGGAACAAAACTAGAACAGAACTAGAACAGAACTAGAACAGAACTAGAACAGAACTAGAACATAACTAGAACATAACTAGAACATAACTAGAACAGAAATAGAACAGAACTAGAACAGAACTAGAACAGAACTAGAACAGAACTAGAACAGAACTAGAACAGAACTAGAAGAGAACTAGAAGGGAACTAGAACAGAACTAGAACAGAACTAGAACAGAACTAGAACAGAACTTGAACAGAACTAGAACAGAACTAGAACAGAACTAGAACAGAACTAGAACAGAACTAGAACAGAACTAGAACAGAACTAGAACAGAACTAGAACAGAACTAGAACAGAACTAGAACAGAACTAGAACAGAACTAGAACAAAACTAGAACAGAACTAGAACAGAACTAGAACAGAACTAGAACAGAACTAGAACAGAACTAGAACAGAACTAGAACAGAACTAGAACAGAACTAGAACAGAACTAGAACAGAACTAGAACAGAACTAGAACAGAACTAGAACAGAACTAGAACAGAACTAGAACAGAACTAGAACAGAACTAGAACAGAACTAGAACAGAACTTGAACAGAACTAGAACATAACTAGAACAGAACTAGAACAGAACTAGAACAGAACTAGAACAGAACTAGAACAGAACTAGAACAGAACTAGAACAGAACTAGAACAGAACTAGAACAGAACCAGAACATAGAACAGAACTAGAACAGAACTAAACAGAACTAAACAGAACTAGAACAGAACTAGAACAGTACAAGAACAGAACTAGAACATAACAGAACTAGAACTGAACTACAGCTGAACTAGAACTGAATTCGAACTGAACTAGAAATGAACTAGTACAGAACTAGAACTGAACTAGAACTAGAACTGTACTAGAACTGAACTAGAACTGAACTAGAACTGAACTAGAACTGAACTAGAACTGAACTAGAACTGAACTAGAACTGAACTAGAACTGAACTAGAACTGAACTAGAACTGAACTAGAACTGAACTAGAACTGAACTAGAACTGAACTAGAACTGAACTAGAACTGAACTAGAACTGAACTAGAACTGAACTAGAACTGAACTAGAACTGAACTAGAACTGAACTAGAACTGAACTAGAACTGAACTAGAACTTAACTAGAACTGAACTAAACTGAACTAGAAACTGAACTAGAACTGAACTAGAACTGAACTAGAACTGAACTAGAACTGAACTAGAACTGACTAGAACTGAACTAGAACTGAACTAGAACTGAACTAGAAGTGAACTAGAACTGAACTAGAACTGAACTAGAACTGAACTAGAACTGAACTAGAACTGAACTAGAACTGAACTAGAACTGAACTAGAACTGAACTAGAACTGAACTAGAACTAAACTAGAACTAAATTAGATTTTAACTAGAAGTAACTCAGTTTGTGAAGATTTTTTTTGCCTCTTACCCACTGTGTTTCTGAGAATATGTTTTAATTTTTCTGGTTTATATTTTGGGAGTATTATTGAGAGTGTTTATTAAGGGATTTCTGTATTTAGATTATTGTATCACATTTGTATTCATGCAACATCTGTGTATAAATTTATTACCTACTAAAAATATAATTTCACTTAACTAAATTAATAATTTTTGTTAATATTAATAATAATTAAAAAAATCACATGCATTTTATTTTATAATAACATTTTAATTTTCTTTTATTTTTATTATTATTTGTATTTAACTTATGTTTAAGTATTTTATTTAAATTTTAGCACTTAATGATTGATACCTTTTTTTGTGGTTAGTGTTAAATTAATATTTATATTAATTACTTGCTATTTGTAGTTAATTACTAAAACGAAATTTTGTATTTTTATAAGTTATTCAAATTCATATTTCTAGCAAAACAGTTCCACTGTAAATCGGTTTTATACTGTTTTTTAATTAGAAAAAAAGCTTATTATTTGCATAAGAAATGGCATGATTGATTTTATTTGCAGTTTCTGTTTAGAAAAAAGTAGTTTTTATTTTATTAATAATTTAAAATTGAAACTAGTGTGTTTAGTTGTTAATACATTTTAAAATAGAAAATAGTTGCTATATCTTTAGAGATTTTAAACTCGCTTTTGATTAGATAATACACTTTCCTGAAGGCTTATTTTTGATTTGATTTCAAAATTGACTTTCCTTAAACCTCTAAAATTTTTGTTAAGATTTTGTTTATTCTATATTTTGTTATTTCTATATATTTAAGTAAATTTTGCTAATTTATAAGTTTTCTTTTTTACAGGCCTTGAATGAAAACAGTTTTTTCTTTCGGTAAGTTTATATAATTTCTGATATTTTTTGGATAAATTTGTTACGGTTGCTGTTAATATTAATGTGGTCCAATAGGATATTTACGATTCATAAGTACACTACATAATTGGAAGTTTTAATTTTTTTTTTTTTAATTTTGTATTTGTTAATCACTATTTTTTCACATTTTTTAGTTTTTAATTTTAACAAAAAGACTTTAGATATGATTTTAATTAGCCTTATAGAACTCTAGTATGGTAGCGATGTTAAACGAGAAAACTATTTTTCAGGATTTAACTAATTAGACAGTAAAATTAAAGATAAAAAAATGAACTAAATATGAACTACAATAGAGCTAAAACTGAACTGGACCTAAACCAGAAATGAAGTGGAACTGAAGTAGAACTGAAGTAGGACACAACAGAACTAGAACAGAACTAGAACAGAACAGAACTAGAACAGAACAGAACTAGAACAGAACTAGAACAGAACTAGAACAGAACTAGAACAGAATTAGAACAGAACTAGAACAGAACTAGAACAGAACTAGAACAGAACTAGAACAGAACTAGAACAGAACTAGAACAGAACTAGAACAGAACTAGAACAGAACTAGAACAGAACTAGAACAGAACTAGAACAGAACTAGAACAGAACTAGAACAGAACTAGAACAGAACTAGAACAGAACTAGAACAGAACTAGAACAGAACTAGAACAGAACTAGAACAGAACTAGAACAGAACTAGAACAGAACTAGAACAGAACTAGAACAGAACTAGAACAGAACTAGAACAGAACTAGAACAGAACCAGAACAGAACTAGAACAAAACTAGAACAAAACTAGAACAGAATTAGAACAGAACTAGAACAGAACTAGAAAGGAACTAGAACAAAACTAGAACAGAATTAGAACAGAACTAGAACTAGAACAGAACTAGAACAGAACTGGAGCAGAACTAGAACAGAACTAGAACAGAACTAGAACAGAACTAGAACAGAACTAGCACAGAACTAGCACAGAACTAGAACAGAACTAGAACAGAACTAGAACAGAACTAGAACAGAACTAGAACAGAACTAGAACAGAACTAGAACAGAACTAGAACAGAACTAGAACAGAACTAGAACAGAACTAGAATAGAACTAGAACAGAACTAGAACAGAACTAGAACAGAACTAGAACAAAACTAGAACAGAACTAGAACAGAACTAGAACAGAACTAGAACAGAACTAGAACAGAACTAGAACAGAACTAGAACAGAACTAGAACAGAACTAGAACAGAACTAGAACAGAACTAGAACAGAACTAGAACAGAGCTAGAACTGAACTAGAACAGAACTAGAACAGAACTAGAACTGAACTAGAACAGAACTAGAACAGAACTAGAACAGAATTAGAACAGAACTAGAACAGAACTAGAACAGAACTAGAACAGAACTAGAACAGAACTAGAACAGAACTAGAACAGAACTAGAACAGAACGAGAACAGAACTGGAACAGAACTAGAGCAGAACTAGAACAGAACTAGAACAGAACTAGAACAGAACTAGAACAGAACTAGAACTGAACTAGAACTGAACTAGAACAGAACTAGAACAGAACTAGAACAGAACTAGAACAGAACTAGAACAGAACTAGAACAGAACTAGAACAGAACTAGAACAGAACTAGAACTGAACTAGAACTGAACTAGAACTCAACTAGAACTGAACTAGAACTGAACTAAAACTGAACTAGAACTGAACTAGAACAGAACTAGAACTGAACTAGAACTGAACTAGAACTGAACTAGAACTGAACTAGAACTGAACTAGAACTGAACTAGAACTAGAACTGAACTAGAACTGAACTAGAACTGAACTAGAACTGAACTAGAACTAGAACTGAACTAGAACTGAACTAGAACTAGAACATAACTAGAACAAACTAGAACAGAACTAGAACAGAACTAGAACAGAACTAGAACAGAACTAGAACTGAACTAGAACTGAACTAGAACTGAACTAGAACTGAACTAGAACTGAACTAGAACTGAACTAGAACTGAACTAGAACTGAACTAGAACTGAACTAGAACTGAACTAGAACTAGAACTGAACTAGAACTGAACTAGAACTGAACTAGAACTGAACTAGAACTGAACTAGAACTGAACTAGAACTGAACTAGAACTGAACTAGAACTGAACTAGAACTGAACTAGAACAGAACTAGAACAGAACTAGAACTGAACTGGAACTAAAATATAATTAAACTTAAACTCTATTTAAAGGATTTCATAAAACAAAATCATGATTTAACTTCAAATTAGTTCCACTTCGAAAATTAAATATAAAAAAAGAAGAAAATACCAACTAAATAATTAAATATGTTTTTATTGAAAAGTAAAATAAAAATAAGTCTCTAATAAAAAAGCCAAAAAAGTAAACAATAAAATTTAAAAGTTAAAAACAGAAAAGAAAAAAAGAAGTAGAAAATATAAAAACTCAAAATGCTTGAATTGGTCTATAAAGCCCTGTGTAGCCACATAGTCTAGCTCTAAGGGCAGGTATTAAAACGGCAGCTGATGTTATGTCCTTTAACAATTCGGCACATTCACAAACCAACAAATACATTTTATCACCTTTTTGTGAAGTACTTTTATGTAGAGAAATGCGCCTCAGACCGGCAGCACGAGGCAAGTATCTATTAAAATGAAATGAAACATAAAAAAAAAATTGAACAAAGAGAAGACACAAAAACTAAAAATGTTATTATAAAAATAGGAATAATAGGTTTTTTTCGGTGTTTGTAAGTAGTAGCTTGTCTAACAAACTGACAGACTGACTGACATAGACATGCATTTTTTTTCTTCTTCTTTTTCAACAACAGTAATATCTGTTTAAGTGGTAAAAAGGAGGATTGTAGGTCGATGTTTTAAAATTTTAATTATGAAATTTATGAAGTCAATTGTAAGTACATAGGAGACTACAAATATAGGAATTTATTTAAGAATATTTATACCGAGGGTTTACTGTACTCACCTATACAACATTCTGGCCCCCGTCCAGTACAACCAATTCTTTTCAAATCTCTCACCATCATCACCTTCGAAGACCTAAAAACAGACAAGAATTGAATAAACATTTAATGAACAGCGTCTCCGGTATTGCCACTTACAACCAAAAGCTTAAATTGGAAAGAATATTTGGAGGTAAATTTATTTTCCAAAATATCTTAAATCAGAAATTTAAGTTGGAAATGAGAACTTTCTGTATTTTAGATCTAAAGCCCAATTTGTTCCTAATCAGTATTAGTACTATTTCTTTTCTAGTTCAGTTTAGTTAAGTTCAGTTCAGTTCTAGTTCAGTTCTAGTTCAGGTTCTAGTTCAGTTCAGTTCAGTTCTAGTTCAGTTCTAGTTCAGTTCTAGTTCAGTTCTAGTTCAGTTCTAGTTCAGTTCTAGTTCAGTTCTAGTTCAGTTCTAATTCAGTTCTAGTTCAGTTCTAGTTCAGTTCTAGTTCAGTTCTAGTTCAGTTCTAGTTCAGTTCTAGTTCTAGTCAGTTCTAGTTCAGTTCTAGTTCAGTTCTAGTTCAGTTCTAGTTCAGTTCTAGTTCAGTTCTAGTTCAGTTCTAGTTCAGTTCTAGTTCAGTTCTAGTTCAGTTCTAGTTCAGTTCTAGTTCAGTTCTAGTTCAGTTCTAGTTCAGTTCTAGTTCAGTTCTAGTTCAGTTCTAGTTCAGTTCTAGTTCAGTTTCTAGTTAGTTCAGTTCTAGTTCAGTTCTAGTTCAGTTCTAGTTCAGTTCTAGTTCAGTTCTAGTTCAGTTCTAGTTCAGTTCTAGTTCAGTTCTAGTTCAGTTCTAGTCAGTTCTAGTTCAGTTCTAGTTCAGTTCTAGTTCAGTTCTAGTTCAGTTCTAGTTCAGTTCTAGTTCAGTTCTAGTTCAGTTCTAGTTCAGTTCTAGTTCAGTTCTAGTTCAGTTCTAGTTCAGTTCTAGTTCAGTTCTAGTTCAGTTCTAGTTCAGTTCTAGTTCAGTTCAGTTCTAGTTCAGTTCTAGTTCAGTTCTAGTTCAGTTCTAGTTCAGTCTAGTTCAGTTCTAGTTCAGTTCTAGTTCAGTTCTAGTTCAGTTCTAGTTCAGTTCTAGTTCAGTTCTAGTTTCAGTTCTAGTTCTAGTTCAGTTCTAGTTCAGTTCTAGTTCAGTTCTAGTTCAGTTCTAGTTCAGTTCTAGTTCAGTTCTATTCAGTTCTAGTTCAGTTCTAGTTCAGTTCTAGTTCAGTTCTAGTTTCTAGTTCTTCTCAGTTCTATTCAGTTCAGTTCTCAGTTCTAGTTTAGTTCAGTTCTAGTTCAGTTCTAGTTCAGTTCTAGTTCAGTTCTAGTTCAGTTCTAGTAGTTCAGTTCTAATTCAGTTCTAGTTCAGTTCTAGTTCAGTTCTAGTTCAGTTCTAGTTCAGTTCTAGTTCAGTCTAGTTCACTTCTAGTTCAGTTCTAGTTTCAGTTCTAGTTCAGTTCTAGTTCAGTTCTAGTTAGTCAGTTCTAGTTCAGTTCTAGTTCAGTTCTAGTTCAGTTCTAGTTCAGTTCTAGTTCAGTTCTAGTTCAGTTCTAGTTCAGTTCTAGTTCAGTTCTAGTTCTAGTTCAGTTCTAGTTCAGTTCTAGTTCAGTTCTAGTTCAGTTTCTAGTTCAGTTCTAGTCAGTTATAGTTCAGTTCTAGTTCAGTTCTAGTTCCGTTCTAGTTCAGTTCTAGTTCAGTTCTAGTTCAGTTCTAGTTCAGTTCTAGTTCAGTTCTAGTTCAGTTCTAGTTCAGTTCTAGTTCAGTTCTAGTTCAGTTCTAGTAGTCAGTTCTAGTTCAGTTCTAGTTCAGTTCTAGTTCAGTTCTAGTTCAGTTCTAGTTCAGTTCTAGTTCAGTTCTAGTTCAGTTCTAGTTCAGTTCTAGTTCTAGTTCAGTTCTAGTTCAGTTCTAGTTCAGTTCTAGTTCAGTTCTAGTTCAGTTCTAGTTCAGTTCTAGTTCAGTTCTAGTTCAGTTCTAGTTCAGTTCTAGTTCAGTTCTAGTTCAGTTCTAGTTCAGTTCTAGTTCAGTTCTAGTTCAGTTCTAGTTCAGTTCTAGTTCAGTTCTAGTTCAGTTCTAGTTCAGTTCTAGTTCAGTTCTAGTTCAGTTCTAGTTCAGTTCTAGTTCAGTTCTAGTTCAGTTCTAGTTCAGTTCTAGTTCAGTTCTAGTTCAGTTCTAGTTCAGTTCTAGTTCAGTTCTAGTTCAGTTCTAGTTCAGTTCTAGTTCAGTTCTAGTTCAGTTCTAGTTCAGTTTCTAGTTCAGTTCTAGTTCAGTTCTAGTTCAGTTCTAGTTCAGTTCTAGTTCAGTTCTAGTTCAGTTCTAGTTCAGTTCTAGTTCAGTTCTAGTTCAGTTCTAGTTCAGTTCTAGTTCAGTTCTAGTTCAGTTCTAGTTCAGTTCTAGTTCAGTTCTAGTTCAGTTCTAGTTCAGTTCTAGTTCAGTTCTAGTTCAGTTCTAGTTAGTCAGTTCTAGTTCAGTTCTAGTTCAGTTCTAGTTCAGTTTCTAGTTCAGTTCTAGTTCAGTTCTAGTTCAGTTCTAGTTCAGTTCTAGTTCAGTTCTAGTTCAGTTCTAGTTCAGTTCTAGTTCAGTTCTAGTCGTTCTAGTTCAGTTCTAGTTCAGTTCTAGTTCAGTTCTAGTTCAGTTCTAGTTCAGTTCTAGTTCAGTTCTAGTTCAGTTCTAGTTCAGTTCTAGTTCAGTTCTAGTTCAGTTCTAGTTCAGTTCTAGTTCAGTTCTAGTTCAGTTCTAGTTCAGTTCTAGTTCTAGTTCAGTTCTAGTTCAGTTCTAGTTCAGTTCTAGTTCAGTTCTAGTTCAGTTCTAGTTCAGTTCTAGTTCAGTTCTAGTTCAGTTCTAGTTCAGTTCTAGTTCAGTTCTAGTTCAGTTCTAGTTCAGTTCTAGTTCTAGTTCAGTTCTAGTTCAGTTCTAGTTCAGTTCTAGTTCAGTTCTAGTTCAGTTCTAGTTCAGTTCTAGTTCAGTTCTAGTTCAGTTCTAGTTCAGTTCTAGTTCAGTTCTAGTTCAGTTCTAGTTCAGTTCTAGTTCAGTTCTAGTTCAGTTCTAGTCGTTCAGTTCTAGTTCTTTTCTAGTTCTATTCTAGATCAATATCTTACCTTAAACACGGATATTATATATCCAGTAGCTGGAGTTTGTGACTTTTTAAAGCTGCCCGATTCATTGGGGGCCAATGTTAAAGGTGGACGACATATAGCGGCCACTTCGCTATACAAGTCTAAAGTATGAGCGGCAGTGTATCTAGAAAAGGAAAAATGTATTTCATTGTTAACTCCGTTTTCCTTCTCCTCCCTTTACTCACTTTAAATTTTTTGGCTCAAATTTCGATAAAGAAGAAACTCGAATGCCAGTATAAAAATTTGAAGGATCCGTTTGTGTTGTATTTATAACATAATAAGCGATAAAAGGAAACTCAGCTGGAGGGCAAACAAATCAGCAACAGCAGCCAAATTCATTGTCGTTAAAGAATAAAAGAAAATTAATGTTAATTAAATCTATAGGAAAAGTTATTTTCCTTGCTACTTGTTGCACAACTTACAGCATTTCTCCATGTTTGCCAATAACATGCCGCCTACAGCGGTATTAGCCTGTTGCACTTCTTGCAAAAGCTCTGAAGCCACAGCTCGCTGCTTTAGTAAAGGATGTGCTAAAGGAGATTCTAAAACTGGATCTATCGGTTCTAGAGGACTCATTAAGTGCACTAAAATGCACATTTTGGGATCGGAAACCTCTAAAACACTTAAGGGACTGGCAGGTTTAGTGCTATTGCCTTCAACGGGAGAGGGTGGTAACTAAAAGAAAGATTAAAGTTTAATTTTAGAGAAAATCATTTGAAAAATTATTCATAAAACTTACAGGTATGCCAGCTGGCAGAAAACGATCTACACTGTGCACCGGTATTATAAAACAATCACGATCTAAAGTGGCCAATGATATAGGCTCCGATCTAGAACAGCTTACTGTCAGACCATTATTAGCACCTCCTGCTGCAGCACCACCACCGCCACCAGTGGCAAAACTAGCTGAAATATTTGTATAATAAAATATATTTTAAATCAATTGCATTTAATATGGATCTGTTAAGCTTAAAGCTTTGAGGTTATTTGTTTACAATCTATACACTAAAAGCTTTTACTACTTTTGGCTCCTTTCGGTTGTAAAAGAGAAGTCTGTTTTCCAAAATCTTTAAGTAACGAACTTGTTATAAAGCTTTTTTTAACACAAAGCTTTCTAGTTATATTGTTATTAAACTCTTCATTTAATTCTCAAATATTTTATAGTAATTGAACATTAAAAAAAGCTTTCTAGTGCAAACTTAGTAAAGCAGGGGATTACTGTTTATATAAGTCTAAAGCTTTAAAGTTCTTGTGTGAAAAGCTTGTGTTTTTAATATAATGTTAAGTATAGAAGTAAATATGTATATATTTTTACGATTTCTTAAAGCTTTGGAATTAAGGTTTGAGTTCAGTTTTAGTTCCAGTTCAGTTCTAGTTGAGTTCTAGTTCAGTTCTAGTTCGTTCTAGTTCTGTTCTAGTTCAGTTCTAGTTCAGTTCTAGTTCAGTTTTAGTTCAGTTCGTTCTAGTTCAGTTCTAGTTCAGTTCTAGTTCAGTTCTAGTTCAGTTCTAGTTCAGTTCTAGTTCAGTTCTAGTTCAGTTCTAGTTCAGTTCTAGTTCAGTTCTAGTTCAGTTCTAGTTCAGTTCTAGTTCAGTTCTAGTTCAGTTCAGTTCTAGTTCAGTTCTAGTTCAGTTCTAGTTCAGTTCTAGTTCTAGTTCAGTTCTAGTTCAGTTCTAGTTCAGTTCTAGTTCAGTTCTAGTTCAGTTCTAGTTCAGTTCTAGTTCAGTTCTAGTTCAGTTCTAGTTCAGTTCTAGTTCTAGTTCAGTTCTAGTTTAGTTCAGTTCTAGTTCAGTTCTAGTTCAGTTCTAGTTCAGTTCTAGTTCAGTTCTAGTTCAGTTCTAGTTCAGTTCTAGTTCAGTCTAGTTCAGTTCTAGTTCAGTTCTAGTTCAGTTCTAGTTCAGTTCTAGTTCAGTTCTAGTTCAGTTCTAGTTCAGTTCTAGTTTCAGTTCAGTTCTAGTTCAGTTCTAGTTCAGTTCTAGTTCAGTTCTAGTTCAGTTCTAGTTCAGTTCTAGTTCAGTTCTAGTTCAGTTCTAGTTCAGTTCTAGTTCAGTTCTAGTTCAGTTCTAGTTCAGTTCTAGTTCAGTCTAGTTCAGTTCTAGTTCAGTTCTAGTTCTGTTCTAGTTCAGTTCTAGTTCAGTTCTAGTTCAGTTCTAGTTCAGTTCTAGTTCAGTTCTAGTTCAGTTCTAGTTCAGTTCTAGTTCAGTTCTAGTTCAGTTCTAGTTCAGTTCTAGTTCAGTTCTAGTTCAGTTCAGTTCTAGTTCAGTTCTAGTTCAGTTCTAGATCAGTTCTAGTTCTAGTTCAGTTCTAGTTCAGTTCTAGTTCAGTTCTAGTTCAGTTCTAGTTCAGTTCTAGTTCAGTTCTAGTTCAGTTCTAGTTCAGTTCTAGTTCAGTTCTAGTTCAGTTCTAGTTCTAGTTCAGTTCTAGTTCTAGTTCAGTTCTAGTTCAGTTCTAGTTCAGTTCTAGTTCAGTTCTAGTTCAGTTCTAGTTCAGTTCTAGTTCAGTTCTAGTTAACTTCTAGTTCAGTTCTAGTTCAGTTCTAGTTCAGTTCTAGTTCAGTTCTAGTTCAGTTCTAGTTCAGTTCTAGTTCAGTTCTAGTTCAGTTCTAGTTCAGTTCTAGTTCAGTTCTAGTTCAGTTCTAGTTCAGTTCTAGTTCAGTTCTAGTTCAGTTCTAGTCAGTTCTAGTTCAGTTCTAGTTCAGTTCTAGTCAGTTCTAGTTCAGTTCTAGTTCAGTTATAGTTCAGTTATAGTTCAGTTCTAGTTCAGTCAGTTCTAGTTCAGTTCTAGTTCAGTTCTAGTTCAGTTCTAGTTCAGTTCTAGTTCAGTTCTAGTTCAGTTCTAGTTCAGTTCTAGTTCAGTTCTAGTTCAGTTCTAGTTCAGTTCTAGTTCAGTTCTAGTTCAGTTTCTTTCAGTTCTAGTTCAGTTCTAGTTCAGTTCTAGTTCAGTTCTAGTTCAGTTCTAGTTCAGTTCAGTTCAGTTCTCAGTTCAGTTCTAGTTCAGCTAGTTCAGTTCTAGTTCAGTTCTAGTTCAGTTCTAGTTCAGTTCAGTTCAGTTCTAGTTCAGTTCTAGTTCAGTTCTAGTTCAGTTCTAGTTCAGTTGTAGTTCAGTTCTAGTTCAGTTCTAGTTCAGTTCTAGTTCAGTTCTAGTTCAGTTCTAGTTCAGTTCTAGTTCAGTTCTAGTTCAGTTCTAGTTCAGTTCTAGTTCAGTTCTAGTTAGTTCTAGTTCAGTTCTAGTTCAGTTCTAGTTCAGTTCTAGTTCAGTTCTAGTTCAGTTCTAGTTCAGTTCTAGTTCAGTTCTAGTTCAGTTCTAGTTCAGTTCTAGTTCAGTTCTAGTTCAGTTCTAGTTCAGTCTAGTTCAGTTCTAGTTCAGTTCTAGTTCAGTTCTAGTTCAGTTCTAGTTCAGTTTCTAGTTCAGTTCTAGTTCAGTTCTAGTTCAGTTCTAGTTCAGTTCTAGTTCAGTTCTAGTTCAGGTTCTAGTTCAGTTCTAGTTCAGTTCTAGTTCAGTTCTAGTTCAGTTCTAGTTCAGTTCTAGTTCAGTTCTAGTTCAGTTCTAGTCAGTTCTAGTTCAGTTCTAGTTCAGTTCTAGTTCAGTTCTAGTTCAGTTCTAGTTCAGTTCTAGTTCAGTTCTAGTTCAGTTCTAGTTCAGTTCTAGTTCAGTTCTAGTTCAGTTCTAGTTCAGTTTCTAGTTCAGTCTAGTTCAGTTCTAGTTCAGTTCTAGTTCAGTTCTAGTTGTTCAGTTCTAGTCAGTTCTAGTTCAGTTCTAGTTCAGTTCTAGTTCAGTTCTAGTTAGTTCAGTTCAGTTTCTAGTTCACTTCTAGTCCCTTCAGTTTAGTTCTAGTTCAGTTCTAGTCAGTTCTAGTTCAGTTCTAGTTCAGTTCTAGTTCAGTTCTAGTTCAGTTCTAGTTCAGTTCTAGTTCAGTTCTAGTTCAGTTCTAGTTCAGTTCTAGTTCAGTTCTAGTTCAGTTCTAGTTCAGTTCTAGTTCAGTTCTAGTTCAGTTCTAGTTCAGTTCTAGTTCATTTCTAGTTCAGTTCTAGTTCAGTTCTATTTCAGTTCTAGTTCAGTTCTAGTTCAGTTCTAGTTCAGTTCTAGTTCAGTTCTAGTTCAGTTCTAGTTCAGATCTAGTTCAGCTCTAGTTCAGATCGAGTCCGCTTCTTGTTCATTTTTAAATCTACTTTTGTGTTAGTGGAATTTTAAGCTTTTTCCGAAAAAGTTTTCAAATATTTTTAACCACATTAATAAAGCTTTTCATAAAAGCTATACTGATCATTAAATGGAAAAGTTTTTTATTATTAATTTTCTTTGTTATTTTGTTATTGATCATGATTATTTAAGTGATTACCGGTCATGGGCAAAAAAATGGGTACGTTTCTATTAACAGGGGTTAACAAAACATAACGAAATATATAATTTAATAATAATTTAGAATTAATTTTATGGGTTTTGTTTAACGAAAATTAAAAAAGAAATGATTTGTTAAGAACACAAAACAAAATGAGGGCTTTGAACAAATTCAAACCTTGCCTAGCAGCAGTGGACGTTGTTGGCAAGCCCGAAGCCGTACCCCCCCTTGGTGTCTGATTGTTTTCTAAAACTACTACTGTTAGGCGTGTAAATCTGTTGGCTGCTATTGTAGACATTGCTGTTGAGATTCATATTGTTGCTGCTATTGTTGTAGTTGATGATGTGGGCAGAGGTGGAGATGTTGTTGTTGTTGATGTTGCTGCTATTGTTGGCATTATTCCATCTCAAAAGCGATACTGAGGGCTTGCGATCAACTAAAGGCTGTGGTACATCCAATTCATGCTGCATGGTGGGCAGAGGAAGCGTGGTGGCGGCGGTGGTGGATATTTGTGTGCAAGCACCTGTAAAGCCACTGCAACGTTCTGTAATGAGTTGATGTTCTGTTGATTTGTTTGTATGTGTGTTTGTTTTTTTTCAAATACAGTCATACGCATTTTTTGAAGGTTTTATTTGGGGGTGGGCGTGGCATTGGTGTGGGAGGAGGAGAAATAAGTTGTAAGTGTCAATTTAAAGAGATACATTTTAAAGGTGTTTATTTGGTGGATTTTTGTGGCTACTGGTGGTGTGTTTGCTGCTGTATTTATGCCTGAATTAGTAAGTTTATTTAAGCTTTTTATTTCTCTCAGCTTTTTTTAGTGTGTTAAAGTGCTTTATTAGTAGCTTTGGTGTTTTAGAGCTTTTAGGAAGTATTTAGGATTTGGGTAAAACTATGCCTTTTTATTTAACATTATTTCTACATTTAAATTTAGCATAATCTATACATTTACTATTTTTTGTAGACATTCTTTAATAACTTACATGGAGCCATTTGTTTAAACGTTTTTTTTTTTAATTTTTGGTTAAATTTAGTAGAGTTGTTATTTATTTCTTTAAAAAACAAAAAAGCTGGTAGTACTTGTTATTACAGTTTTAATTGTTTTATTTTTTATTAACAAAAGTTCTCTTTCTTCCTCTCTCTTTTTCTTGTTATAAAATTATTGTTAGTTTAACGTTCACGCCGCTGAAGCCTGCCGATGTTTGACTTTAGTTGCACATTTAATTGTTATAAACTTTTTGATTTTATTTAGTTATTTGTTTGCTCGTGTTTAGTAACAATTTTAATGGGTTTCGATAATTACAAATTCTGCTGGGAATAGTTTAGGAATTTTAGTAAAAAGTTATGTGAATTTTGTGTGTTAAAAGTTGCGTGTTGCCTGTGGTTGTGGTATTGGTTAGAGTACAAGGATTATCTACCTTTCGGGAGAAAGGGGATTGAAGAATACAAATAAAAATGCTGATAGTCTATAGTCCGGTCTATAGTCTAGTATATAGTTAAGTCTATAGTCTAGTCTAAAATCTAGTCTATTGTATACTATAGTGGATAGTCTAGTCTAGTAGTCTATAGTCTAGTCTATAGTCTAGTCTATAGTCTAGTCTATAGTCTAGTCTATAGTCTAGTCTATAGTCTAGTCTATAGTCTAGTCTATAGTCTAGTCTATAGTCTAGTCTATAGTCTAGTCTATAGTCTAGTCTATAGTCTAGTCTATAGTCTAGTCTATAGTCTAGTCTATAGTCCTAGTCTATAGTCTAGTCTTAGTCTAGTCTATAGTCTAGTCTATAGTCTAGTCTATAGTCTAGTCTATAGTCTAGTCTATAGTCTAGTCTATAGTCTAGTCTATATTAGTCTTAGTCTAGTCTATAGTCTAGTCTATAGTCTAGTCTATAGTCTAGTCTATAGTCTAGTCCTATAGTCTGTCTATAGTCTAGTCTATAGTCTAGTCCTATAGTCTAGTCTATAGTCTAGTCTATAGTCTAGTCTATAGTCAGTCTATAGTCTAGTCTATAGTCAGTCTAGAGTCTAGTCTATAGTCTAGTCTATAGTCTAGTCTATAGTCTAGTCTATAGTCTAGTCTATAGTCTAGTCTATAGTCTAGTCTATAGTCTAGTCTATAGTCTAGTCTATAGTCTAGTCTATAGTCTAGTCTATAGTCTAGTCTAGTCTATAGTCTAGTCTATAGTCTAGTCTATAGTCTAGTCTATAGTCTAGTCTATAGTCTAGTCTATAGTCTAGTCTATAGTCTAGACTATAGTCTAGTCTATAGTCTAGTCTATAGTCTAGTCTAGTCTATAGTCTAGTCTAGTCTATAGTCTAGTCTAGTCTATAGTCTAGTCTATAGTCTAGTCTATAGTCTAGTCTATAGTCTAGTCTATAGTCTAGTCTATAGTCTAGTCTATAGTCTAGACTATAGTCTAGTCTATAGTCTAGACTATAGTCTAGTCTATAGTCTAGTCTATAGTCTAGTCTATAGTCTAGTCTATAGTCTAGTCTATAGTCTAGTCTATAGTCTAGTCTATAGTCTAGTCTATAGTCTAGTCTATAGTCTAGTCTATAGTCTAGTCTATAGTCTAGTCTATAGTCTAGTCTATAGTTTAGTTCAGTTCTAGTTCAGTTCTAGTTCAGTTCCAGTTCAGTTCTAGTTCAGTTCTAGTTCAGTTCCAGTTCAGTTGTAGTTCAGTTCTAGTTCAGTTCTAGTTCACTTCTAGTTCAGTTCTAGTTCAGTTCTAGTTCAGTTCTAGTTCAGTTCTAGTTCAGTTCTAGTTCAGTTCTAGTTCAGTTCTAGTTCAGTTCTAGTTCAGTTCTAGTTCAGTTCTAGTTCAGTTCTAGTTCAGTTCTAGTTCAGTTCTAGTTCAATTCTAGTTCATTTATAATTCAGTTCTTGGTTCCTTTCCCTTCTATTTATCGCCTCATCGCTTTTCGCCTCAATTGTGGTTTAGCTCTTCTAATTGTCCGATTTTCCCTCATGCTTAAAATCGTTTGTGTAAAATTCATTATTTCCTTCATCACCGACAAAAGGAACTTTGTTTTGATTTCTACACTTTTCCTTTACGTTACGCTCTCTTTAACGGTCTAAACGTCTGACGCTCTAATTGTGTTGCTGCATGTATATAAATAGCAACATTTAAGCTGATTTTGAAAACTGGCAATTAACCCATCGTTTAGTAAGAGTTATTAAAAGGAACTTTATTTCTCAACACTTTTTTTTTTTTTTATAGAATTCCTAAACCCTCTTTCAACCCAACTGGTCTTAGTTATGTGAGCTTTGTTGTTAATAAATTTTACTCTTTTTTGCTATTTGCTGCTGCTTTTGAGAGTGTGTTAATGGCCAAGTAGTCTTTTGTTAATAAATAATTTCTGTTTTTATTTTTTCTTAAATGCAGTGTATAGTTTTGTGTTCTTTTTCCTTTTTCTATGGTTGTTATTGAAAATTATTTTGAAAAGGAAATGGAAAAAGAACACAAAAAAAATGCTGTGTAGTGAGTGTGTATGGTTCTTGGTTGTGTATGTGTGACGGTGGTGGTGAGCGCCTACCTTCGCCCACATCATAGCCGGCACGATTGGGTGAAAAGAATAGATGAGTCCTATAGTGTATATCCTCCGGTTGTGATGAGAGACCCATATCGCGTGAACGTTTTGTACGATTCGCTTTTGTTTGTAATTTTGTACCGCCACCACCGGTTTTACCACCGCTGGCGCCTTCACGGAAATTCTTACGAAACATTAAATTCATGATTGTTCAATTACAAAAAACACACGATGCGATGATATGTTTAATGGTGTAAACGACAAATGTTTTTTTTAATTTTTTGTTTATATTTATTTTGTTATTGTTATTTGTTGTAAATATTTGTAAGAATACTTATTGTTGTTATTGTTTATTGATAATGTTCATTAAGTATTGTATACTTTTGAGGTGGTTTGATTTGTTGTGGCTGGTAGTGATTGGAATTGCTTTTCAATTGTTTTAGTGTTGGTGTTTAACGGTAAATGACATTTTCTTGATTATTTTTTTTTTTGTTTTTGTATTCTTATTTGTTTTTAATCCTTGGGCTTGCATTACAAAGTGGTGATATGGTTTTGTTGTTTGAAAATAACAAAAAATTAATAAAAATGTGGGCCAAAGATGGAAAAATTTATATATTTTAAAAGGATTTTTTCAACAGAATTTTTGCTATAATCGAGGGTAGTTTATAGTCTAGTCTATGGTATAGTTTATGGTCAAGTCTATTGTCTAGTCCATAGTCTAGTCTATAGTCAAATCTTTAGTCTAGTCTACTATCTAATCTACTGTCTAGAGTATAGTCAAATCTATAGTCTAGTATATAGTGTAGTTAATAATCTAGCACATAGTCTACTCCATAGTCTAGTCTATAGTCTAGTCTATAGTCTAGTCTATAGTCTAGTCTATAGTCTAGTCTATAGTCTAGTCTATAGTCTAGTCTATAGTCTAGTCTATAGTCTAGTCTATAGTCTAGTCTATAGTCTAGTCTATAGTCTAGTCTATAGTCTAGTCTATAGTCTAGTCTATAGTCTAGTCTATAGTTTAGTCTATAGTTTAGTCTATAGTCTAGTCTATAGTCTAGTCTATAGTCTAGTCTATAGTCTAGTCTATAGTCTAGTCTATAGTTTAGTTTATAGTCTAGTCTATAGTCTAGTCTATAGTTTAGTTTATAGTCTAGTCTATAGTCTAGTCTATAGTCTAGTCTATAGTCTAGTCTATAGTCTAGTCTATAGTCTAGTCTATAGTCTAGTCTATAGTCTAGTCTATAGTCTAGTCTATAGTCTAGTCTATAGTCTAGTCTATAGTCTAGTCTATAGTCTAGTCTATAGTCTAGTCTATAGTCTAGTCTATAGTCTAGTCTATAGTCTAGTCTATTAGTCTAGTCTATATTCTAGTCTATAGTCTAGTCTATAGTCTAGTCTATAGTCTAGTCTATAGTCTAGTCTATAGTCTAGTCTATAGTCTAGTCTATAGTCTAGTCTATAGTCTAGTCTATAGTCTAGTCTATAGTCTAGTCTATAGTCTAGTCTATAGTCTAGTCTATAGTCTAGTCTATAGTCTAGTCTATAGTCTAGTCTATAGTCTAGTCTATAGTCTAGTCTATAGTCTAGTCTATAGTCTAGTCTATAGTCTAGTCTATAGTCTAGTCTATAGTCTAGTCTATAGTCTAGTCTATAGTCTAGTCTATAGTCTAGTCTATAGTCTAGTCTATAGTCTAGTCTATAGTCTAGTCTATAGTCTAGTCTATAGTCTAGTCTATAGTCTAGTCTATAGTCTAGTCTACAGTCTAGTCTATAGTCTAGTCTATAGTCTAGTCTATAGTCTAGTCTATAGTCTAGTCTATAGTCTAGTCTATAGTCTAGTCATAGTCTAGTCTATAGTCTAGTCTATAGTCTAGTCTATAGTCTAGTCTATAGTCTAGTCTATAGTCTAGTCATAGTCTAGTCTATAGTCTAGTCTATAGTCTAGTCTATAGTCTAGTCTATAGTCTAGTCTATAGTCTAGTCTATAGTCTAGTCTATAGTCTAGTCTATAGTCTAGTC